GGCTGCCCTATTGAAAAACACAGACATAAAACATTTCCATCATCACAGAAAGTTCTACTTTAGACTTTCCAAGAGAGGCACAAAGTTCCGCATTTTTAATACACACCTTAGATTATTTTAATACTCAATTACCTCAGCAAACAATCTCATAAAAACCTGACAATATCATTTGTCCAACTTCCTCAAACAGGATCTATGGCACAAATACCCTGGGAATGAACACCTGGTTAACTAAACCATTGAGCACAGTGCTCCAAATTATATATCAGGGCTGTGATAATCCCACATATGACAATTAAGTTAGCTCAGATGAACCAAACTGCAGGCGAAGCCCTGGTCAGCAAGCCGTATGTGTAGGCCACTGGATTATGCATAAGGGAAGAGGTAGGAGAGAAGGTCCAGGAGCCACACACTCAAAAGCCTACTAGCAGACCAGCCAAATAGCAACGGTGCATTAAGTGGGCCATAAGTAAGCAAAATGAATGAGATAAAAAGTTAAGCATGAGGATAATAACTTGTATTCACTTTCAGGAGGCAATAATGGAGACTAGAGCATCCCTTCAAAAGAAAAAAAGGGGTCTCAGCTCCAACTAATGATTACTACGTGGGAAAGGAAAGCCTAGAATTGTCAGAGCTTCTGTATTGTTTTTCCCCCCCAAAAAAATAAAAGTCTGCATTTTTGCATGAAATCTCAAACATGGCAACCAAGTCAAATTATAACACTGAACAGAACTAAAAAAGCACATCTGTGGGTCACAGCAGGCCCCACCAGCCCTGTGTTTGCAAACTCAGTGCAAGTCAAGTAGCAAAACCAAGTTAGAAGCAAGTGCCATGCGTGTGATAAGTCAGTCCCATCCACTTGCTGGGAAGAATATCTAGTCCACACGTTATGAGAGGGGAGAACTGAACAGGAAATAAAGTACTCCAGTAAGTCAGTGCCCCAAAAAGCATTTTCAATATACTGGTCCCAGCTTATGTATAAGGAAACCTTAAAAGAGAGAAACAAGGAATCAATAGCTGAAAAGTTCAGGAATTCAAGAGTTCTAGCTTATTCCTCCACTCTAGTCCCATACAACAGCATGCCAAATTCTCATTATTGTACATGTTCTCTTAGATTCTGATTCCACAATTAATCAAGAAATAAAGCTGCTACTCTTGACTTGTTCAGATCTGGGAAGCTGACCTGAACTTGTAAATCAAACAAATTATTCAAAATATCTAAACACAGAAGAGATTCACTTTGAAAATTTTATCAAATGTTTCATTTATTTAAAAAAAAAAAAAAGAGGAAAAAACGGTTTCTCATACAGTCAGATCACAAATCAGCTTCTGAAAAATTCCAGCACACCCATTATCCCATGAACTCAGGGTTCATATTATCTCATTCATTTCAACTCCTGAATACACCGTACACTCCCATTAATAAACAGGTTATTTATTTCAACCTCATCGTGTGTGTGTGTGTGTGTGTGTGTGTGTGTAATGAATGTTCAATTTAATAAATTATTTGAGCACCTGCTGAGAGGATTCATTCAGAGTAGAAATGAAGGTACGGTTGCTAGTGACAGGTTGGTCTACAGATGCCTAAGGCACAGTATCTGCCATGAAAAGTGTTTAAAATCAAATGAGTTCAGTGGTATCAGATAAGTGTTTGTAGATGGGTGGTTCTCAACCCTGGCTATGAATTAGAATCACCTAGAGTACTTTTTAAAATACCTACATCCAGTCTCCACTCTGAGCTCAGTGAATAAGAATCTTGGAGAAAGGAACTCACACACTTGTATTGTTTAAAGTGTTAAAAGTAGCCCTGGCTTGTTTGGCTCAGCAGTTAGAGCATCTACCCACGGATGGGAGAGTCCCGGGTTTGGTTCCTGCCAAGGGCACATACCTCGGTTGCAGTTTGTCCCTGGTCCTGGTTGGGGTCATATGGGTGGCAACCACTCGATGTGTCTCTCTCACGTTGACGTTTCTCCCTCTTCCTCGCTCTCTCCCTCTCTATCTTAAGATAAATGCAGTGAGGATAAAATATAAAATAAAATGTTAAAAGTAGAGTTGACTAATAACCAGCTAGTATTGAACACCTGAAGGATATGGGGGATTACCCTTTCACCTGTGACACACAATTTTGATAATAAGTTAAACTAATTACTCAATGATCCCCATCTTGACTATTTAAGAAGACAATCTCCTCTCCAGTAACTACTTCACTAAATTAGATTTAGAGCCTGGGATACTGATAAACTACCAAACTCCAAAGACAAGCGACCCCATAATTCTCCCCCATTAGTCAATTCACCTCCCCAGTAGAGTTCCTCAAACAGAAGGGTGTGGAGAGGCAGCAGAAATCTCAAAGTCCCAGATTTCAGAACATAATTAAAGCCTTCCTCAGTTTCTTCAGCATCCTATATACTCTGGACCTTATCTGATGCTGATTCAGCTGGTTCCCCACATTCCACAAATACCAGTCTTCTATGTTTCTTCTCAGCAAGGGGTAGATTCTTCTCTGATGCTGCCAACAAAATCCAGAATGGCTTCCTTGGCCTTTGCTTACCCTTCAAACTTTAGAAACCTTGAATCTATCTTCAATCTTGAAATCTGACTTTCTCCCTTTAAATTATTCAGGGCCCTGGAAGAAACTGACTTAATTTACATTCAGTTCCCGCCAAATTTGTTTTCTGTACAGCACTCTCTACCTGGATACCTAAGAGATCTAGCCCATTTTTCCATCTGTACTTAGACCGGGGAACATTTTTCATTCTTGATTTGCAACTCTTGCAATATTTGCCTCAGAAATTGCACTTCTCTCAGATAGCATAGAGACCTGTATTGTAAACGATAATCAAGAGAACTTGTGGCGGTCCCTCCTCTCCTCAAGAAACAAAATTGCTATCTTTATGTTATTGCAGCAGTTTGTAGATTAATTATCTTTTTAAAACAAACTGTAAAAAATAAACAAGGTGGGGAAATTCCAATGCATAATAGCTTACTGGGCTCTGTAGTTAATGACAGTATAAGGACCTAGAGACACGGTTCCTGGGTTCACATTGCAATTCCACCATGTGCTAGTTATCTCTCTGTGTCTCTTTTTTCCCCATCTGTAAAAAGGGAATAACAGTACCTACCCTCATGGAGTAAGTCATTTAATACATGTAAAGCTCCTCAAACAATGCTTGCACAGTGTAAGCACAATTCATGTTAGTTGTTATTATTACTGCATGCAGAGTGTAAAACCTTGCTGTCCAGGGAAACAAGACTTTTAAATCATTTTCACTGATTTAAAGAAGTGAACTTATGACAAATTGTTTTTCAAATTGAATTTTGACATTTCGGATCTTTTACCATTATTTTCTAAGTTCAATGGATAAAAGCATGGAATTTGTCAGTGTTTCTTGACATTTCAGTTCCATTAGGAATCTCATTTAATATTAGTTAAGCCTTATTATGAGTACAATATTATTTAAAATGAAACTATGGGAGAGGAATATTTCGGGAGGGGAAATATATCACTTGCCACTTATTAAATTGAAATTTTAAAAGCCAAAACAGGGAGGGAGGAGTTATAAGCTGCAGGTGACCTTTAAATGCCACATTCACTAATATATAAATGTAAACAGAAAAATGTAACGTCTGGTAATAATAGTAAACTGGATCAATACAATTACATTATGGGTTCTGTGATATTATAAATTATGCTTTCTGTCCAGAATATCAATAGCTTTTTAACACCTTTTAAGATCAAATTATAATATATTAAATACCATCTAGTTAGTTCCCTGTATGTGATTTCCATGTACTAAACTTCTAAATGTATATGACTTACGGCATAAATTATTTTTAATAATGAGTTAAAAATAAAAATAATTCATCATTTCAGTAAGACAATCCTTCAATAAGATCTACTGTAATAGTCTAGAGTAATTTTGTTACCTTAACTTTCAGAAGTTAGTGAAATATGACTTCAAAGATAATTGGTTACATGTGCAAATCTCAGTTTAACTGAATTACACAATGTAAACAGCACAAGTTATTTAACAATGGGGAAAAAACTTATCTTTCTCCAGAAGGGGTTGGGGTATACAAGGTGTTCCATTTGAATGCCTTCAATGCCTCCTTCTCCACTGATGAAGACACAGAAACCCAAGCACCTCACAAGGGTTCTGCTAAGTCTTCTGAACGTGCATTCCACACTTAAAAATACCCTTCCTGAGCGTCACTTAATTTTCATTTGTTTTGAGTTCAGGGACAGAGTTAGGGACAGTCTTGGTCTTCATTCCAATAGTTATCCAGGACATGACACAGACAACCCACGCAGGAAATGTTCATGAAATGTGTGGCATTAAACTAGAACACTTGAAATGCAGACTGGTTGGTTAAGCAAACAGCATCCTTCCACCCAAGTTCCTGCCCAGTCACTTAGGGAGGACAGCTCACGAGGTTGAAATTCCAAGGGCCTCATCAGTTACAGCTTTCCAGTATGTCACTTGCACCAATCAACTTTCGAATTCCAAGGAGCTAAGTGTGGTGGGCCTTGGTGGGGCAAACATTACACCTGAGGTCAGCAGCACCTTCAAGGATTCCCTTGAAAAAGAGTTCCCTCACACAACTTCTAAAGCAGTGCTTTTCAAAGGCCAATAGTCATTCCAATCACTTGTGAACTTGTTTAAATGGGGACTCAGGCTGTGAGCTTGGATCAGGGTGCCAGATTGTGCATTTCCAACCACCCCCCAAGTGATTCCCATGCTGCGGTCCTCCCACCACCCTTCGAGAAGCGAGGCCCACGAACTCCCGAAGACTCCCAGGTCACTTCTATCAGCAACATTCAAAAGCTGAGGCCACAGGTAGTGACAAACCAAGTTGCCTGGGTGCTCTGCGTCCCCTGAGCGTCGCCACCCCGTCCCCCAGGCACCTGGCAGGTGCCGTGGCCTCGTGCGGTCGCGGGTAGACTGCTCGGCAGCCGCGCCCCCTCCTCGCCCCGCGCGCGCCCCCAGCGCCGCGCTCACCTTCTCCCGAGCCTTCAGGTACCGCTGCAGCGCCTGCTGCGTGAGCTCGCGGACACGCAGCTGGCCCTCCTTGCAGGGTACCACGATGCCGGTCCTGCCGAAGCACACGGTCACTTTCATCCTGGCCCCCGGCGACCACGCCGGGCCTGGCCGAACAGGTGTCTGGTCCCGCGGGAGCAGCCCCCACTCTCGGGGGACGCGCGACACGGGCGGGCCCGGAGACCCGGGCGCCTCTCCCGGGGCCCCCTCAGGGCCCGGGGCTCGCAGCAGCGCCCCTTGCCCCGGGCAGGCGGGGTCCAGGGGCGCGAATCCGGGAGGGGGATGCAGCGGGCAGGGCTACCTCCCAAGTGGCGGGGGTGCCGGGACGCGGCGGCGGCGCGGCCGGGCTCCTCCTCCCGCTCCTGCTCCCGCTGCCGCTCAGGCTCCTGCTCGGGCCCGGACGAGGCGGCTGCTCCGCGCGCACCAAAGCGAAACTGCCGGCCCGGCCCGGCCCGGCTCCGGCTCGGCCCTGGCCCTGGCCCTGGCGGCGGCGGGGTCGGCCCCAGGCCCGGGGCTGGAGTGGGCGGCGGCGGCGCGCGGGGCCGGAGTTGGGAGGAAACTTTTGCGCCGGTCCCAACTCCTCCGCGGCGCGCGGCGCTCTGCTCCCGCGGCCCCCAGGCCGGCCTGGGCCCGGCTCTTAAAGGGGCCGCGGCGCTGCCGGCCCCGCCGCTCACTCGGCGGCGCGGGGTGGGGAACGCGCCGGGCGGTAACCGGAGCCCGGGAGCCTGGTCCCCTCACTGGGTCTCTCCTTGGCTCTGTCCCTCCAGCACACACGGAGCTCTGGGGAATTGTAACGGGACCTGATAGCTACCCACCGGGGAATTGAAACCGGATCTCATAATGCTTTAGCACATAGGAGGGAATAGCTAAGAGACTGCAGAGTTACACCCTTAAAATGAGGGGATTGGAGCAAGATTCAGGGAGAGCCTAGGAGCAGGTGCTTCTCGCCACGCCCACCATAACACCCCTAGGAGAGGCTGCTCACAGGTACTAAGCTGCAGGGATGGCCCAAGGGCCTGTTAGGAACTTAAGCACAGCATCCCATCTGTCCTCCGGAGCCCTGGGATAGCAAAACGGAAGGGATTCTTTGGGATAATATGGCAGTGAACCATTCATTTTACAGAGGAAGACAACATACCCACAAAAGTCACACCCCAGACCCAGATACTATCGCTTATGCTTACATATAGTCTTCCAAAGTGTGTCTCCTGTTGTGCATTTGACAGGAAAAACATTTTTTAAAACGTTTAGGTTCATGATTTAGCAGGTGTGTATCCATCACCAATTGAAATAGGCGTATCTGGGAAGAAAGATTCAACAAATAACACCTGCATCATTCTTAGCTCACACATCAAATGAGCTCCTTTGAGCCTAATATTAACCCTGTAAAGTAAATGTTATTTTCCCATTTTGTGAATGAAGAATGGAGCTCAGTGAGGTTAAGGGATTGAGCTGACCCTGGAGTTAGTTACACTGAAAGGAAATAATTTCTTCCCACGCTGACTGTCTGGTCTCCCCAAGCAGTTTTCTCCACAATCCAGTTCATCCAACGTGATCCTGGGGGCTACATCATGTGTTTGTTTGTTCCTTGGTCAAGACGCATTTAAATTGAACTTGAACTGCCCAGGACAGTATGATAATGCACAGGAGATTCAGTTAATGGTTTCATGGACTTTGAGAGGTTTAAATTTTTTAAACTCATTTATATGTGTTATAAATATATATTGGTTGTCTTCTATGCACAAGACCTTATGTACAGTCAATGGCATCAAAGAGGATCATGGAGATCAAGGTGGTCTGAAGAAAATATATTAGTACAATTTGGTAGCAAATCTAATACAAACGAATTTAAATAAACTAAAGAGAAAATCAATTTCCTCCTAAAATCAGAAGATCCAAAGAGCACTCTTTTGAGGCAAGATTGAAAACTGAAACTGATGTCGTCATGGGCCACGTCTCTCCATTGGCTCTGTGCCTCTCAGTGTTTTCTTCTCCGACAGGATCTCCCCAAAAGTAGAAAAGATGGCCACTGTCACTATTGCAGGTTTACACAGCCATCAGACATCACTAAACCTTTTTCTGGTGAGGACTTGCATATCCTAGCTTGAGTCTCATACCCTCCCTCTGGTGAGATGAATGCAGCAGTGATTGGCCAGACTTGGTTCACCTGCCACTACATCACATGGACTGAGAATAGGGGAAGGGGAGAATCCTCAACAAGGGGACAACAAAAGACATGTAGCCGCCACAAAATATGATTCCTTCCCAACCCTCAAGGAGCTTATAGATAGGGAAGACAGGGCCTAAAGATGTGAGAAGTTAAATAGAAACTATAAAACTACAGTGAATTTGATAATTCTATTGGACAGTCTTGATTTAGATATCTGCCAGGCATTATTTTCAATGAATATAAAAAATATATATACAGATATATGATATACATTTCATATGTACATGTATATACAAATGCATCATATATTTCTATATTTTTCCTTTACAATAATCTTACAAGAGAGGTAATTTTGTTATCTTCCTTTTAGACATGAGAAACTGAGGCCAAGGGAGGTTAAGATCACACTCTTGGAAAGTAGCAAAGACTGGATTAGAATCCAGGCAGTCTGACTTCAGAGTCTTCAGTAACTGCTATGCTGATTTTACATGGGAAGTAACAAGTGAATAAAGCAAACAAACATAAATAAATACTAATGCTCTGCATTAATGTGTGACCCTTACTTTTAATATCAGCTATTACAAGGACATGTAGAATGGGAGAGAGCAAATATTTAGCTGATGAAGTAACTGCAGGTTGCCATTCTTTACGCTTCATGGCTTTGCTTTTCCCTTTACAATTCCTCCTTTTCAGTTCAGATAATGAATAGCTCCTGCTCTTCACACCACAAACTTCCTCTTGGCTCAGCTTCAGCCCCTCCCCGATACCTAGATCCCTGACTTTGAGAATGTCCGGGCTTTGAGAAGCCCTAGGTAAACTGTGAAGAATACCCAGACTCTGTAAAATCCGTTCCCAGAAAGACTGGAATCAGGTCTTGTGAGATGCAGCAGAGGTTTGGAGGTTATGAGATGAAGGAAGAGATGAAGCCAGGCATGGATATAAACAATGCATTGTGCAATCCTGCACACCATGGAGCGAACTTTAGTGACCCCAAGTTAGTAATTACAAAGAGTTTAGTGTTTACATTTCATGTTTATTAAATAGTCCAATTTAATTTCTTATTCATCCTTATCACAGCATACATATAAACATTTAAGCGTATATTAAGAAGTTATATAAAAGAACATAGTTGCAACACAGAGACATTCATGCCCAGCAAATTCCTAAATCAATATTTCATGTCCCATGGGACCTCCTGGGCAGAAGACAATAAATAATTTGCCTTGATTGAGTAACACTAGAGGATTCTACGCCTGGGTTCCATTTTCTTGTTTTGCCTGTTGGATGGGTAAATATTGCCTGTGGTGTGATATTTTCCCATTTGTTATCCAAAAGCTTAACAAGCTTTGGAGTATCCAGTGAAAATGTGTTATGCAGAGACCAGTAATACTGACCAATATTATTAAACAGCTCTGCCTTATAAAAATTCTAACTAAAAGGTCAGGTGCCATTAGGTATATATTGAATAAAGTGATACTTTCTCATATATAGTGGACTAGTCATTCATTCTGATGTTTTGCACTATTAAAATGGAAAATATTTTCACCCTTCAATGAATTATTTATAACAGGCATCATTTGTCATAAAAATTAACTGAGTTGACAATGTCCTTCTTTCTAAGACCCTTGGAGAAATTAGTACGATAGATTATGTTCTTAGCTTCCTTATGATATCATGAGAGAGGAAAGATAATAAATGTGCTTTTTTAATTCTTTCCTTTCATATTTCTTTTAAATGTTTTTCTTTATTGACTTTAGAGAGAGAGAAAGTGAGAGGGAGAGAGAGATAGAAACATCAATGAGAGAGAACATCGATTGGCCGCCTCCTGCATGCCCCCCTATGGGGATCTGGCCCACAACCTGGGCATGTGTCCCGACTTGGAATCAAACCGGCGACCTCTTGGTGCATGGGTCGACCCTCAACCACTGAGCCACGCAAGTCGGTCCTTCCATATTTAAAAGCAAAGGAATTGGCAAGAATGAGTTTTTCTTGAGATGTTTGTCTCTAAATGCCAGATGGCATTTGTTGACTGTTTCTGTAGCTTCCTAAGGCACAAATAACAATGTTTTAAATCCTGAACAGAGTACTATGGGTTATCAGCCTTTTAAAAGGTCCTTATTTATGCCTGTTTTATAGGTAAAACTCACAACTCTCCACAATGATTCAGCTATACCTCCCCTTCTTATACTGAATCTCACACTATGAATTCTAATGTCCTACCTTGATTTATGTTTTCTTGAAAAGAAATAATAATAATCACAAAAAAACAAACCAAAAGCAAGAAAACTGTTCCAATATGTTGTGTTAAGAGTTAATCAATAGTTGGATGCTTTTTCCTCATTGTGTGATCTCCTTCTCTGAAGCAGATTAGGGCCCATGAGCACTGAACACTAGTAATAGGTTCTCTCAGTGTGGCACCAGGTCCTCTCACCACTAGGTTTCAGTGACAGGTTTAAAAAGGAGGCCAACAGCAATGATCAGGAATGCTCTCAAACAAGCTCAGGTATCCAAGGATAGCTCCTGAACTGAGGTGAGGTTGCAATCAAGAGTTTTTTCTTAACCCTACTCACTTTTCCTAGGCCTTCTTCTACAGCTCATGTATATCCCTTTATGGGAGAAGCAACTTGGTGTTCATGTAATTGACAGGAGGTAGAAAGAGAACTGATATTTGACTCAAGATGCTCCAGGACTATAGCAGAAGTAGAAAACTAAGGCTGGATAGACCTACATTTCAAAGTACTCTGCTTCTTACCACCTGTGGGGTCTTACTTAGCAAGTGTCACTGTGTTCCTTTATACAATGGATGATAAGCCTATTTTAAGGTATAACATACATAAGGTACCGAATACATAGTAGGCAAAATATAGTGCCCTCCTTCACCTTTTATTCCATTTACTACCATTTCTAAATGCCATATATTTTCACTAGATCTGAAACTACTTGCAAAAACAACAACAACAACAAATCAAATGATGCTTGGAAGCTCTATATCATCATTGTCAACAATTTCTTTTCTTTTTTTTTTTTTTTTTTGTGTGGTATGTGCCCCTAATGGGAACCGAACCTGAGACTCTCTGGTCCGCAGGCCAATGCTCAACTGCTGAGCAAAACTGGCCAGAGCCATTGTCAACAATTTCTGAAGCCCAAGTATAACTTGCTCTGTAATGAAGTTGCCACACTTATAGCAAAAATACTACAACCTGCATTATATTTTACAGTCTACATATCATTTAATTGGATGCTCAAAAATAATCCTAAGATAGCCCTGGCCAGTTTGGCTCAGCAGTTAGAGCGTCGGCCTGCGGTCCAGAGAGACCCAGGTTCGGTTCCCGCTAAGGGCACATACTTCGGTTGCAGTTTGTCCCCGGCCCTGGTTGGTCGTGCGGGTGGCAGCTACTCGATGTGTCCCTTCACGTCGATGTTTCTCTCTCTCTCTCCCTTCCTCTCTCTCCCTCCCACTCTATCTGTACAAAAAATGGAAAAATATCCTCGGGTGAGGATTAAAAAAAAATAAAAAAAATCCTAAGATATAGTAGTCTAGTGCCTGAGAATCATAGAATTACAGAGCTGAAAGGGGACTTGGAGATTATTTATACAATCTCCTCATTTTATATCTGAGGAAACTAAGAACTGGAAAGGTCAGGTGACCATCAAAAATGAGAACCTAGATCCTCTGGTGTATAGTCCAGTGCTTTCATTACTTCCCTGTCTGCCAGATAACAGAATTTAAAACAATAGCTATTTGACCAGCACTGGCTCAAACCTTTGAACTTTCCATGGGCCAAGAGGTGATGGTAAGGAGCTCATTCCTGAATTTTCAATTTAAACTTAAGATTCTGAACCCTTCTTCTTGCTACAATTGTAAATCTCAAGAATATTTGCTATGTGTTAGAATGACTATTACAGAAAATAGAAAACCATCTAAGGATTTTACGCTCCTTTGTGCATGGTGGAATACAGAGGACTGGGGAGACAGACAGAAGCCCCTTATTAGTTTATTCATTCCATCAGCCATAACTCTATTCAACAGTATTTGCTCAACACCTATAATCTGCTGAGGGTAAAATGATCACAAAGCTTAAACTCTAGTGAGAAAGACAGATGATAAAAGACTAACCAAATGAATAAAATATCTGCAGATGTGATAAGGTGTAATAAAGGGTATTAACAGCAGGCTGTGTGGTAGGGAGTATTGGGGTAAGAGAGAACCTGTTTAGATGGAATGAACAAGAGAAAAAAAAATAACTTTGTGAAGAACTTACAGAAAAAGGTACAGTACTTGCAAATATTCCTGAGACTAGTATGTTTTAGGAATTGAGAGAAAGCCAGTTTGGTGTGTGCATTAATGGGCCAGAAAAGAGAGATGGAGGATGAGGTTGAAGAGCTTGTCTACAAGAATGGCCTCCTAAAAGACTTAGGCAACATTGATGATGAGGAAAGGCAAGATTCTTTCAGAATCTGTGATAGATCAAAGATGTCAAGCTTTTAAGAGGCATCAAAAAAGACTCGGGTTTCTAGTTAAGAGGTGAAATTATTAATTAAAGCTAGAGAATCTTGGACAGGGGGGCCTGGGGATGATGGGGAAAGAGGAGTAAGTTCAGTTTGGGACATTTTCAGGTCTTTGTGCCTCCAAGGCAACCACACAGAAGTGTTTAGTTTGCCAGAAACACAAGGTTTGAAGTGCAGGATAGAGTCTGGAGACTAGGTATTTAAATTTAGGAGTCATAGATTTGAAGTTAAACTCATCAGAATGAAGGATATCATCAAAAAAAGAGGGGGTGGAATTTAGAATAAAAAGGCAATGGGGCTTAGACTAGAACCCTGGAAAATGCCAATATTTAAGAAGAGAGAGGTCTAGAGAAGTTATACATGCATGTGACAATGCATTATTAATTACAAGTCATTATTCTTCTTCTGTATAAGGTATTATCAGTGTCAAAGCTGTGAGAAGAAAGGGTGCTGCTGCCCTGGTGAAGATACAATGGTAGAGAACAGGAAATTGAATGTTAAGAATGGAAAGCAAGACAGTTTGACTGGAACAGATAGGCTTCATTGGAACATAACATAGGATATAAGGTTATAAAGATATGGGACGAAGGAAATGATGGAGGACAATGATTGAGAGAGAGCTGTTACAACTGAACTAAGGAGCATGGATCTGTTTCACCAAAGAAATATCCTCCAGATGCTTGAGCAAAGAAGTAACATGCATAAAATAGCATTTGAATGTCATTCTGACATCTTCATGTATAAAGAATTAGAGTAGAAAGTCACTGAAAGTTGGGGGGGGGGGGTAGATCCCAAAGAAGAATGTTGAAGTATAAATAATATAAAACTAAATATAAGTGAAATATCCTATATGTATATTTCTGGAGATTGATTATCCCCACCTGTACATGTGTTCATCTGAAGTAGTAGACTGTATGATTGCTTAATGTCCAGTCCTACCATTCAGCTATTCCATGCATAGAAAGTGGGGGGAATGGAGTGCCATATGACTCAGGGTGCAGTCAAGAAACCAAAAACACACCCGATCTCAAACAGAAGGAATAAAATAAAAGAAATTAATTACACTGTGATGAAGAAGCTAAAAAGCCAAACAGGAAATGGCAAGGCCACTCAAAGATTAGCCACAGCAGGAAGCTGCTGCTTTCTCTAGGATTGGCGGCATGCAGGGAGGAGCTAGTGTTAGCAGAACCCAGAGGCTGGACAGCTTGGCAGGAGCTAAAGCCATAGCAGGTACTGCCCAGCAGGAGCTGGGAGCAGAGGGGGGGGGAGGGGGGGTTGTCCGGAGGAGACCTGGGACTCTAAGCAGTTGCAGTCATGAAAACACAACCAGAGGAGTGACAGAGAAAGAGAGAATGCCATGCCCACCCCCAGGTTCCTACCTCCTGCCCTCCAAGCTTCTATCAGTGTTTCACACCAGCTAAACTAGCTGGAAGCCAGTTAGCGAAAAGAAGGGCAGGAAAGTATTTGGGAGCAAACACAATGACTGGTTTTTCCTGGGGGCTGCTATGGTAGTTCATAAGTAGATATTTTAATTCTCACTAACATTTTAGATTTAGGAAAAACACTAAAAAAAATTTCAATTCAATTTAGTATATTTATGAAAATAAAATTTTCCCAGCCTCAGCTAAATTTATGCTTTCCTCAAGAGAAAGTACTTCTCTATTTTAACAGTAAAATATAAGCTTTCTCCCGATATCCAAAATAACTACGAATTTCCACCATTTAAGAAATAAAATAATTCTACATTTGCTCAGTCATCAAATTCAAATTAATAGTTTTGTTTAGCTATGGTTACATAAGACTATAAGTAACAAATTCAAAAATTCTATTAGTATTGAATGCTGAAGATGTCTAACAACAATGCTATCTGATAATGTTTCACTTATTTTACATGCTATAATTTTGAACACTAATCTATGTATTCATGATGGAAGCTTTGAAGACTACGTGTGATTCAAGTTGTGATTCCCTGGTATAAAATTATTTGAGAAGGCCATTAATACTTTACCACATGTGTACATGAAAAATAATAAGTGTGATTTTTATTTCAATACTATCAGGAAAACTTGATTTTCTTAGCATTTTTTCTTTAAGAGTATTCACTCTTGTTAGTACATGTTTGTTATAACTTTTGCAATTATCTTCAAAGTGTTTTTTATGTAACCAGAATACAAATATAATAAAGAATATAAATAAATTATATATGGACTTTAATGTATCTCACAAGACTTGAAAGGAGTAACTCTGCAGCAAATAAAAAGAGCTATCAATTTGTCAGGTACACAGTAAACATTTGGTACTCAATGCCCTCAAACAATAGTCTAAGTGAGAAGTATTATACATTGGTCATGACCTTTTTCTAGCTGCAGGTTCTCTTACTGTAGCACCCACTCAACAGTGCCAGGCTCTTTGAAGAGCGAGGATAGCTGCTGATCAGACCAGCAGTGGTTCTTGATTCAAGGACAGCCATCCATAGGAATGCTGATGATCCATGACGTAACTTGATATTGGGAGCTGTATCTGATAAAGGAATTGGTGATTAGCAAAGCTAATCAAACTGGCTCCTTCCGATATGAAAGCTGGAGGATAGAGAGGGTTGGATACTTGTTAGTGAGAGATTTGAAAGGCCAGTTCAATAATTGAGATCCCAGTTGTCCATGAGAAAGAAGAAAGCATTTTGGAGCTGTCTCAACTCTTCACTGAGTGCCTACTAAAACTCTACAGGCATGGTCACAATAAGAACCACTCTTCACCCAATTATTTTTTCAATACATTATTCGGAGTGAAGCCAATCCTTAAGCTAAAAACAACTAGAAAAGAACACAAATATTAATAAATTCAAGAAGAAGAGCTTATGAAAAGTAAGTCATGGACCCAAGGGTTTTTAAATATATTGTTGCCAGTATGAATGCAAGGCTTACTAGCAATGAACTGGATTAGAATTGGAATATAACCTCACAGTCCATGGATACTTGAATAAATTTTCTTGCGAAAAGGAAGTTGAACACTGGTTTTCAGGAGTTGGTCAGGATATCAGAAGTGGGAAAATCCAGTCTAAGAACAGAGTCAAAGCCTGTGATTTTTCTGAACTCCAGAAGAGAGGGATGTATACTTCCCTCTGAAGTCCCAAATAACTGCATTTTGAGGTTGCAAGTATGTCCAGAACAACAGAAGCAACAAAACTATTTTCTTGAGAAATAATGCAAGTCCTTCAAAGGGCATCTGAACCCCACCGTAGTAATGTATCCCAAAAATCCTCCCTTGAGGACCAAGCAGGCATGCTCCCAGTCATGGGACTGTTGGCAGCTGAGGCTCTCAGTGAGCTGTTGTTCAGGAATTTTCTTAAATGGAATAGAGCCTCCCTGGCCGAAATCATACCTGATTCGTGAAGCAGCCCCATCCTCACATCCACTGAGTGATCTATGGTATGTGCTTGAGGACGCAAGAGGATGCAAAGGTCCAGATCGTTTGCCTTAAGACTGGTCCACTCTGAATGGTTATCCCAGTTACAGCAGACCTTGTTGCAAAGGCATTCCCATGCAAGTTTTTTCCTTGACTGCATAATTTTACTTCTTTTACTTCCGCACAAGAATTGATTTGAGCACACTCACGCCCCAATATATTTTTACATGTGAATCTCCATCTCATCGTCTGTTCTCAGATAACTCAACCTAAGACATAAAGTAATAAAAAGAACTCTATTTAGAATTCACAGATACAATGCTTTGCATGTAAATGAGGGTTCAGGTAATGACTGATCTACCATCTTAAAGATAAAAATTAATGGACAAATTTTAAAAATGTATTGTACATGCCTCAGGATATTTTTAAAAATACCCAAAAGGGAAGATGAGCAGAAAATGGAGCCAAAGAGACTTAGTAAATAGTAACTCAGTAATGGTGGCTCACATTGTTCTAGATACAATGGTTAAACCTTCTATTACCTGAGTGCCTTTGAGCTGGACGGCTAAAGGCACAGAAGAGTCACCTGAACTTTCAGCATCTTGGGAAGGCAGTAACTGCAAGAAAAATACACCTGTTTTCTCATATTCTAACTATAAATAGCATTTGAATTTTTTAAACCCCTACTATTTCCATATTGCTTTAATTTTAAAAATATTTTAGATTATGTTCTTTCAAGAAAAGTTGTCTCCCTGTGTCTCTGGCTAAAAGACAATAAGCTAATCCAATCAGCTCCCTACTTCATCCAGGCTGTTTCTCATCTCTGCCTTAGTTTTACAATATTTTGTGAGGTCAATAATTTAGATATGTGTATAGAAATTATAATAGATTCTTTCTAACTTTATGGGCTAGACCTAAGTAGTGACTGAAGAAGCACCCCTGCTCAGTTGTTCAGTAAATATTTGTCAAATGCCTAGGTCTGATACTGTTTCAAGAGATACAGTTATGCGCCCTCTACCCCTACCAAATTCATATGATGAAATCTTAATCCCCAGTGTGATGGTATTTGGAAGTGGAGCCTTCAGGGGGTGATTAAGTCACGAGAAGGTGGCACTCATAAATGGGATCCGTGCCCTCATAAAAAGAAACCCCAGTGAGCTCCCTCACCCCTTCCATTGTGTAAGGGCACAGTGAGATGGCCATCTATGAGCCAGGAGCAGGCTCTCAGCAGACATCAAATCTGCCACCACCTTGATTTGGGACTTCCCAGCCTCCAGGACTGTGAGAAATAAATCTCTATTGTTTATAAGCCACCCAGTCAATGGTGTTCTATTACAACAGCCCAAACAGACTAAGTCTTTGCTCTCCTGGAGGTTACATTTTATTGAGAGAAAACTGAGGTAAGCAGAATGTGGCCAAGAGGAGAATTAGTAAAACTTTTTATACTACTATTGCTAAAAATTTTAGTACGTCCTTCTCCTGTGAGGTCTTGTCACTTCTGACATGTGGATGATGAGGGTTTTCAATCCACTCATCAGTTTCACATGTGCCTTAGAGAAACACTCAAAGGACATTTTAAGTGATGAGAGGTGACTGAAAAGAGTTGTTGATTTTATTTCTAAATTGATAATTTTCATTAAATTCAAGAACTAAGAATGGTGAGCCACAGAATCAGCTTTCTTTACCCAGCTTTCACACTTTGCTTTTATTACGATCATGTTCTCATGTGCAATGAGAACTTCCAGTTTTGCCTTGAAGGTTTCGATTGTAAGAACCCTCAAAATTATCTCCTCACTTAACTGAATTTTAGCCACTTTTTAATTTATAGTTAAAGTGAACAATGAATTCATTCTTCTCTTCTAAGATTTAATCCCTAATCCCGATATTATTCTCATCATCCCCACTCTTTTTCTGAGGTAAAATAAAAATTCAGTCTTGAGGAAATTTGCCCTATATATTTCTCAACTTAATCAATGAGAATCTGGATAGTTGGCAAAGTTCTCAAAATCACTTCTCATTTTACCACAAATGACCTCACCTAAAACCGCTGGATATGGGTACTTTCAGTCTTAATGTTTGTATCAGTCAGGGTTCTAGAAAGACTCAGACAGCCCATTTGAACTGGGTAAAGTGATGAGACTTTCCTAAGGGAACCACTCACAGGTATGGGCAGCATCAGGCAGACCAATAGTGGAATGCATGAAACTGAGCACTGAGCATCCTATGACTGACAAATTCTCTCTCTCCCTCTCTCCTCTTCAGAGACCTAGTCTTTACCCCAGATAATCAGCAACTCCCGAGGAGCAGGAGGCAGTAACCCAGACTTGACTAATGGCCACACAGCCCAGACCTCTGGCGGACTAAAGATAATATCTTGGCCTGAGTTATGTTTCAGTTCCCGAGCCCTAAGTGGAACAACCCCCTGGCTACTTTCCCATGGGACTAGACAGAGAAATGCCAGAAAAGACCTCAGAGCTGTCCTCAAAGCCTGAAGAAATGATTCATCACCCTTACCCCATCCCTGACCAATCAGCTGCCAGCATGACCCTGAATCCCTAATCCATGGTGTCTTGTGATTTTACCCTATATAATCTGTAACCTACACAGAATTGGGAGTTCAGGCTTTAGAGCATTAGCCTCCTGTTCTCCTTGATGGCGCCATTCAATAAAAGTGGCCAGTATTCTCCACTGCAATTCTTGGTGTTTAGTGTTTGGCTCTACGCGTGCCGGGTAATTGAACTCTTTTTGTTCTATAACAGGTACAGTACTTCAGAACTAGCACAATAGGGAGATGTTACCACCCCTACGCAAATGAATATAGAAAGGGC